TCGTTTATTAGTATTATAATAAATAATCTATAAGTATGCATGTATATTTATATTTGTATATATGTTTTATAATATATATATTGTATATGTAAATAATATTTGGTTAATATATTCATGTGTATATATTTATATAATCATAATATGCAGTAATAACCCATTATATGTGTTATGATTTGTAATAAATATCGATACATACCATATGTGTAATTATTTATCTGCAGCAATTTAAAATTTTTATATCACATTTCTGTTTTGCCAAAGGTTGACTGGAAGAGAATGCTATATTCGTATAGTACTAAGTTCGCCTTTTGTATCAGACTTTTTTTTTATAATATGGTCAATAAAGAATAAAGAAATTAAAAATAATATAATTAATTATAAAATATTTTCAGGGTCCTGTTAATAAATAATTATACTAATTTTAAAGAATGGGTTACGTTAATTGGCATACTGTATATACTAATATAGTACTATATTATCTGTAATACTAGTAAACTGGCTGTTTTTTTAAATAAATTAAATATGAATATTAATCCGGAATTTGCACTGCAATGAAAAATAGAAGCTAAAGTCGTAACAAAAATAATGTATCCACTACATTAATGTAGCACTATCCGAGTAAACCCAGTCCAATATAAAAATAACCATACAAATCTGTTTCGAATTGGTATAATATTTTCGTTGCAGGAATTGAGAATCTACTCTGTTCTCTTAATTTCATTCTACATATATGCTGTCTGGGCGAAAAACTAAAAATCCAAAGGTCGGCAGAGAGTTGGTTCACCTGCCTCCTGGGGCTGCTGTCTTTCTCCATAGTGCAGCTAAGGATCCTCATGGGCTCCGGAGCACGCACAAATGTTTTATTTTAATAGGATAACGTGACATCGGGTACTTCACATGTCCATGGCACATACCAGTTTTTCCATTAATAGAAACTTAGTCTTATTATAAAATCTAACAAGTAGTACACAAAACCACGTAGCAAACTATGAATTTCACTTAGTTGTTCTTTATTATAAAATAAATACACGAAACAGAGCGTATGCTGCTAACAATCCATCATTACTTTTCGCGCCAACGCCATATTGCTTTTTTTTTTATCAATCTGAACATAGTTGCGCTCAGCTTGTTGCTTCACTGATTCGTCCAATTTATAAATTTTATCATACTAGGTTAATAAAACAATTTTAACAAATAGGTCTAGACATGGCTTAATTAAAAACAAAGTTAAAGTGTTTGTCTAACCTCTTGAAACATCTCATGCTTCCAATCATAATTATAAATAAACAATAAGACTTTTTTAATTATAAAAACACAAAAGTCAAGGTATACAATATTTCATGTCACTAACTCCATTTTTTTTTCTTTTTCACTTGATAATTTGTGTTCCTACAAAATTCTAGTCTGATACTCCTCTATATTATATGGCACAAATAATAATAAATATTAATTTAAGATTTTTACTAATTAATTATAAGAAGATAAAAGCCGAGGTACACAGTACCTTATGTTAACAACTTTATTTTTTGTACTCTCTTAATTATTTGTATTTCTACGAAATTCTAAATATATTAAATTAATATTTTATATTAATTGAAAAATCTAGTATAAATTTCCTTTATGCATATACCATATAGCATAATTAAGTAATATTATTTTTTATTTATTAATTATTTAATAAATATAGTCCTATTACTTTATAAGTAATGAACACACAATCTCATTTGAGTTAAGGGGGAAAGATTGAGGGGATAAGAGGGGTTTTGCCAGTTCCCATACTTGGCAGGTGAATTGGCAACTGTAGTTATATATAATATATATATATATATATATATATATATATATATATATATATATATATATATATATATATATATATATATATATATATATATATATATATATATATATATATATATATATATATATATATATATATATATATATAAAATAAAACTGAATGCTAAAATATATGATATTTAATTGCAAAATTTTATACAATCTTTAACTTGCTATATTACAATGAAACAAGCAAGTTTTGAAGTTGGAGATAATTTGTCAGGAACTTGGACGATTTGGGAACAAAAGTGAAAGATAAAGTTACGTTGACGTTACTTGAATTGCTTTTGATGTCTTTTTAGAGAGCATAAAGTGTCACATTTATTTCTGTTTGAAAATATATATATATATATATTCATGTTTGTAGTCATATTATAACTTAACTAGACATGCTTTGTATTTCCAAATTTGTCCGAGAAAACGAGAAATTGCGATGAGAAGAGTAAGAAACTTAGACTATAGTATAAAACATTCTGAAGAACGATTTAGTAATGAAAACAATATAAACAAGTAATTTATAGACATTGGCCGTGTGGTCCTGGCATAGGCAAAGCCACCCGTTCCTTTCCTGTGGCTGTCGTAAGAGGCGACTAAGAGTACTTAATAGTAAAAAGATGGGCAGCAACGTCCCTCTTGAAACATCTCTAAAAGCCTATCTGCGGTTGCCAATTTGCCTGTCAAGCGTGGCAACTACTGGAAAAAGTCCTCTGATAGGAAAGGCTTATATTCAGCAGTGGACATTTAATGGTTAAAATGAAAAAATGTATATATAAGTTACTATATATATGCGTATATATGTTATATTGCAAATAAAGAATCTTTAAAATAGAGATATATATCAGGGAGCTAAAAAGAGAATATTACTTATCTTTAACACCACACAAAGTAAAAATAGCAAATATGGTACAAAAATTTTTAATAGTAGAAAAATATCATTTATAATTTCAGTTATTAATTTTCCTCTTCTGAACACACGCCTCTTCTATAGAGTACATTACATAAGGAACGGTCCTGAGCCACCTGCGTCCACTGCCTCTCGACAAAATACATTTGAAGTCGTCGCTTCGTCTAGTGGGGGCTAGTGAGCAAACACTTCAACGAAAATAATGGGAAAACTTGAATACGCAATCCGTTAGGATTCTCACTACATAAAATTTTCCAGACATCTAAGTAGTTTCTCAATATTGGTAATCTATCACTTTAATGTGTCTCAATGAAAAAAAGGTTGTTTATTTATAAAATTGCATGTAATATCCTACGAAAAACAAAACTGTAAAAACATGCCAAGTTCTTGGATTCCATAAATTATATGGTTGAATATAATTCAACAAACAAGTTAGACGCGAAATATAACAAAATTTTAAAATTATTTCCTTTGAATGTATTTTTTACCTTCACATAGAAGAGTGAAATTAAAGCATTTAAAATATCTTGTCATATCGTAATGAAAAGGCTCTTCAATCCATCTAGTGTAGTAGTAATTAGATAGATAGATACTTTTTATTGTTTCCACCAAAAGATTACAACAATAAACTTATTCTAGATATAAAGAATTAAAAGTAATTATGGAGTATCCATATAGCCATACTTGAGATGTATAAAGAATCTCATTGTATGTGTACGTGTATATATATAGGTTACTGCTAAGTGTTATTATTATTATTTTTTAAACAATTCTCGTTTATTTAAAATATATTATTTATACTGCTTTGATAAAATACAAGCAAGTGCCCGTATCCATATGTCTATACATACAAACTAATTGTTTGTAAAAATAAATTTTTACAAACAATTTTAACCTCTCATCTATATGAGAGGTTAAAATTGTTTGTAAAAATTTTAAAATTTCAATATTAAAATATAATAATATGGTACTATATATTAGACGTTCGTAGAACGTATGCTTTTTCGCTTTTATTAGCACTTGGCCCTGTTTTTCGATTTCAACTCATTTCAAAGAGAAAGAGGTTCTCAATTCGATTATATTTTTTTTTATATTTGTTACCTCTTAACTCCGTCGGTTCTCAACCGATATGGAAAAACTTTTTTTTATCTGAAAATATATACTTACAAATTAGTCTCATAGAAATTTTAGCAATATCGGTTTAGTAGTTTTTATTTTTAAAACAAAATAACTGGCATTGTTACAATAGAAGTCGGTTATTTTGACTTAAATTATTGTAAATCAAATTTAATCATTTAATTTTATTTAATAGAAATATTAAAAAAAAATATTCACGTAAACTTGATAATAATTAATTTGAAATAGTCATTCTTTTTATAAAACTACCATCCAGTTTGGAATGCAAATTCAGGTGAGAATTGTATTAATTGCACATATTTTTAGATACAACTATGCTTTGCTTTTAATGGCATGGCAAATTTTGCATTAAATAATATTAATACTAACTTACAGTACTTTTGGATATTTATTTACGTTATTTCATCTCATTTTGTTATTATTACAAATTTATAATTGTTGGACATAAATTCCTTTTGTCTGTACATAGAGTTAACTTCCTACCTATGAATTTTTACCTTCCTATCAAGTTTAATTTTTGTTTGGAAACTATTTGCGTGCGTGCGTGCGTGCGTGCGTGCGTGCATGCGTACGTGTGTGCGTGCGTACGCGTGTGCGTGCGTGCGTGCGCGCGCGTGTGTGTATGTGCGTGTGTATTTGTGCGTGTGTGTGTGTATGTGTGTGTGTATGCGTGTATGTTTTTGTAAATCTATAATCTAATTTGGGTAATCATACTTTTTATTTTAATTTACGCGGTCAGAATTTCGGTATATATATCGATAGTCAAAATATTTATGATATGTGTGTGTATATGTGTGCGTGTGTGTGTGTGTGTCTGTGTGTGTGTGTGTGTGTTTGTATGTGTGTATGTTTGTCTAAATCTATAATCTGATTTGGGTAATCATACTTTTTATTTTAATTCACACGGTCAGAATTACGGTAGGTATATCGGTAGTCAAAATATTTATGATTAAATAAATATTTAAATACCGCTATAGCTAATTTTTATTTACATACCCGCGTCTGAGACTATACTCTGATAATAATTGTATCATATGACACCTCATTTCTAAAACCACAAATTGCAAACACGTGACATAACTCATAACGCATATAAAAATGGCCGTGTAAACGGCAACTTCTTTTGGTATTACAAAAAAAATAGAAATCGTTAAAAACATTTAAATTTCAGTATAATGCCGAACGCGAGGCGCCGTAGGTTTTCAGTACAAAATGACATCGCTCAAAGGGATCCATCTAAAATGCAGAACGCTTCGCCAAACAGGTAAATAGTGAAAATATTTGAACAACACTACAAGCTCTGTATATATCCCCTTATGCCCTGTTCTGAATATAAATCTATTGCTTCAGCGGCAATTCATAACCCTTTACATGAATATATAACACTACAATTCCAAAAGTAACAAGAACTGTAATTTAAAAGAAATATTTAATAAGTACACAATTTTCAAAATGTTTATCATACAACGCCACGATTTATTTTCTGCTATTTGTTATCCGTAAATACTGACATCTTTTTCTTTATATATGAAATACCGACATATGTCTGCTTACATTAATAAGATAGTATTTAAAAAAACAACTGGCTTCGCTTATGGTAAAACCGGTTATTTTGTTTTATCAACTAAACTACTGAATTGAGTGTGATAAAATTTTTGTGGGACCAATCTGTAAGTATCCTTTTAGATAAAAAATATACGAGAATTCGTAACTTGTATAGAAAGATTTTATTATTGTCATACAAATTATTTTATCATATTTATGATATATATATATATATATATATATATATATATATATATATATATATATATATATATATATATATATATATATATATATATATATATATATATATATATATATATATATATATATATATATATATATATATAGGTATCTACTTAGTTTCAGCAGCATATTTATTATATAGCAGGTATTCATAATGGGCTTAGTTGTACTGAATATATCAAATATTATATAGGAAGTCATAAATGAATGTAGATGATTTGTTGCATTATCAGTGAATGGAGGTATTAAAAGATTCCTACGTGTACACTAATACGACTGAGGAGGGGGGGGGGGGGTAGAATATCTAATAATGGGACCTAACAACCCCATTACTAGCAATGAAAAATACCCTATCAGATTAACCTCCACATGGTTTCCCCTGGAAACCATTGTGATTAATTCTTGTTCATGATAGTCCAACTGACTTGTCGTCATCACTTATCATCTATCAGTAGTGCCACACTAGCTTATGGACGTTGCTACCTAACGCGAACATTAAATTTAACTTAGTCACCTATATATAAACTATATAAGTCTGACAATAAACAATAAGTGTTACTTAGGTGAGGCTCCAGCTGAACTTCCTGAAATATTTGTGGCCAACGGAGTGGTTGCTGTTCAGAAAACTAATATCTGTAATGTAGTTTCAGTAAACTATCTGTGTAATTGTTTGCTCTCCTAAATAAATAAAAGTATATCCGGCACGAGACCTAAAAGCTAGATAAAACATTGTAGTCAAACATTATAATATGTTTCCTGAAGTTTCCTCACGGCATAAAGTAGAATTTTTCACTGATGTCACAAAAAAGAATATTCACTTTTTTATAAACGAATTCAAATAAAACTTGTACAATCGACAATCTTATGTTGATTACATTTGTTACAAATGAAATAAGTTGTTTTAACCGACTTTAAATAGAAAGAAGTTCTCAATTTAATTGTTTTTTCTTTGAAAATACAATTTTAAATAATTATATAACGCAGTCGTAATCAAACATATATGATCTGTCTGATAGTACGATCACTTATATATTACCGAAGTTTATGACTGAATGTTTCGAATTACACTAACTAGTAATTTTATAATATGCAATAACAATATTATGAAAATAAAAATGTACTATTAAATAATTTTTCCTAAATCTGAGTATAGGCACAAGATCATCTGATAGGAAAAGTGTGGGGTAAATTTTATCTTTGCTAAAAATTTTACAACATAGTCCGGTTACAACCAATTGTGCTTAGTAGGTACTTTAAATTATGTAAAATATAAATTTCTAATTACATTTCAGGTATCAAAATCCCAACACCGATGGAGCAAACCATAATGTTGGTGGCATGAAAATATCTAGTACCAAAAATAAATCATTTCCTTACAGCTTTAAAAATAATAATACTCTAGAAATAGTAGCCGAATGTGACAGTAATAAATCTTTACTAAAAGTTTCAACAGTTAATAAAAAACACTCGTCAATAATTATGGACAAAGATGTCACTGCAAGTTCTAGTAATATAGATCTCATGACAAACACGCATGCTAAGCTAAGCATGATAAACACAGATAATGAAACTAAACCTGAAATATATAACAAAATAATAAATTCTGATGAATCTAAGAAAAGAAATGGACGTACACTTCATAGAGACATAACACCATTAAGAAGAGATAAACACCCAAGACAACATCGAATTAAAGTAAGGAGTCCAAAGAGACGAATGAGTATGCCTGATAAAATGCACAATAATGATGTGAATAACAACAAACGATCAATTGGTACAATAGTTATGGATTGGAATCAAGAAGTAATAGAAGTAGTTGAACAATTAGCAGAGACATCTGATGAGTCTAGACTGAGTGATAATTCTCTAGATGGTATGTGTCGAATATGTCACGGCGGAGGAGCATTGTCATCAGAACTGGGGTGAAACTGACTATTTAAAAGTTTTTTTTATACTACTTATAATGGCAAACAAGCTGACGGCCCACCTGATTGAAAGTGGTAACCGACGCCTATAGACATGAGCAGTACCAGGGACATAACAGAGTATACTGTTTCGCCCATGATACCACCCATGCGTTGCTATTCCTGAGGACTCAGATGTTATTTCTCTGTACCCTGTAAATTCACGCCATTTCCCTCCCTTCAAAGCGAAACACAGCTATGCAAACACAACTTCTTTTCGGTTGAAACACGAATGGGACAGAGGTACCCAAGCAAACGACTTTTGTACAAAGTCTCCCTTTGGTAATTATGATATGATCACTATGAAGGTTTCTATACACGTATTTAATGGGAAGTAGGAGGACATACATTACTTTTTATCCCAGTTTAATATATCCCGATCACGCAGACGAAATCGCGAGTGAATGCTAGTTATATACCGAACAATCATTATTATCCATCCGTTCAAAATCTGGAATTTACCAAACGTCACGTTTATAATATTGGTAAGGTTTAGATACATAATACCTAAATCAAAATCAAACGGATATATACAAGATAATAACTACAGTTTAATTATACAAAGACATCATATGAATACTGTTACGGATATCCAAACAAATCAACATCCTTATCATTAACAATACGCAGAATATCAACCAAAATAGATATTTGTAATAGTGAATATTCGTTTGAACATTTTGAATTCCGATTTCCTTATCTTCCTTTGTAGTTAAATTTGATAAAGTAATCAAAATTAATCAACGCTGTGTCTCTTGCAGATTTGCCGGTTGAAATTTCCATTATTTAGTTTTGTCACCAAATTTTGTATTACATTATTACTTAGATAATTCAATTAATTAGGCACATTGGCTATTTAAAACTTTTAAAGTCCTAACTCAATCTTTTAGTCTGTACTAAGAAATATAATTAGTAGTTTTATTATCTATCCGATGTCCACATCTATCTTTCCGCTTATACTTCTACTAAACTACGCAATAGATTTAAATAAATAAATAGGGGTATTTATTTATTTAAATCTTTCGACATATTACGCCAACGCCATCTAGTTCTAAATTAAGCAATACTTATGTCTACTACTTTTTACATAAATACTTTTTGTTTAAAAGTATAATTTACACCCATGAGATGCCAAGACGGTTTGCTAATTTTTAATACATAGATATTAGAGATGTTTATATAAAATTTAGCAAAATATTTGAATACCAGTGATCGATTTTTAAAACGCACATGCACATTTTAATATGCACAATGGTTTCCAAGGAGAAGGTAGACCTAACAAGTTATATTAGTCGTAATGAGGCTATTAGATCACACTACCAACAATTCCATTCCCATACACACAATACACACAAAACGTCGCCATTTCTAAATCAATTTTGTCAATTCTTTTTGCAAGCCATAACATTTATTCCCATATGAAACGACCGTATAATTTTGGTGACAACCGGAGCAAAGTCACAGTTGTTTTTTCTTTAATTTTAATATTTTTAATCAAATTAAACATGCCGTAAATCATGGGAGCATTTTATTCGTTTTAAAATAAAGGTAGTGTAATTCCTACATACATATATATACATATCTGTCACGCCTGTCTCCCATTAGGATATGCAGAAAATATGAAACACCACATGCTACGATTCAAACAAGCCACTTTCGCGTCCTCCACATTCATTAATCTTTTTACACATGATCGCCGATTACGGATATTTTTAATTTGGCTCTTCTTCGGCTGTTGGTCGAGGTATTTTTTTTTTATACAACTTAAAATAGCAATTAAGCTGATGACCCACCTGATGGAAATTGGTAACCGTCGCCTATAGACATGAGCAATACCATAGACATAACAGAGTATACTGTTTCGCCCATGATACCCTCCATGCGTTGCCATTCCTGAGAACTCAGGTGTTATTCCTCTGTACCCTGTAAATTCATGCCATATTCCACCCTTTAAACCGAAACACAACACGACATATGGTCCATTTAGGGTGGTCCCTACCGACATTTTCATTTTTGTTCGATAAATTTTGAAATTTTTCTTTCATCCGTGCTCTCCAAATAGCCAAACTAGCGCAAGATTCCCTTTTCGATTTTCTCACTACATCGTCTTTCAGTCCACAGTTCTCTAGTCAATATTAATTTTGTCAAGTTTGTGCTCGCTGTTTTTTTTTTTTTTTTACGGATCAAAGTCATAACGTCTAGACATGATATTTTCCATTTAAACTTTTCATATTGAACTGTATTTTTATGAGATTTCACCCATACCTTATTCTACGTTATCTAATTATTTCAAGTTTCTATTGTGTCACTTAAGTATCAGTTTTGTATGGAAATGTGAAAAGTTAAGATAGTCTCAAACATATTTTTTTAAGGCTCCAATTTTGATGATATTTTTTCTTAGTCCTGTGTTATTTAAAAACTAATTTTGCGAAGGTTACCTAAATATCAGAATGGAGACTTTGTACAAAAGTCGTTTGCTTGGGTACCTCTGTCCCATTCGTGTTTCTGCCGTGCAGCAATTGTGTTTGCATGACTGTGTTTCGATTTGAAGGGTGGGATTTGGCAGTGAATTTACAGAGTATAGAGGAATAACACCTGAGTCCTCGGGAATGTCATCAGTTAACTGAATCAACTGTCCACTTAGTGGAAAATGACAATCGTCGCTTATAAACATGATCAATATTATGGTTATTTACACTGTAATGTCCAACGCTTCATACGTTGCTATTTCTGAAGACTAAAATGTTATGTCTCTGTAATTTTGTCCTAAAATTTAAGGTATTATTAATATATTTAATCAAAACTTAAATAATAAGAAATAACAAATCACAGTAAAATAAAGCATTTAAGCATATATAGAGTAGGTAGAAAGAGCGCTCTACTAATGCTTTTGTTCTTATTTATACATTTCATCTATTACAATCTAAACTAAACCTAATAATACTAATAATTAGCGTCCAATTTCAAAATCCTTCAGGTATGCTATTATTGTTGGATCGTGTCAGCGGCGACGCGTCACGCACTTGGCTGGTGGGTCTGGTATAGTTCACAATACGAAGTTCGACTCCAGTTTCAAGATAGTGAAGACTAATTAAGAAGTATCGTGAAATAATTAAATATTAAATGTAATAACTCATTTAATATACCAATTAATTAAACTATCAATGAACTTTTAATATTATTGTATTTTGTATATTCTAAAATCGGAGAATTTACATTTTAACTGATTCAAAACGAAGAAAGTTTTCGATTTGATTATATTTTTTTTTAATCTGAGCATTTATTTTTAACCAATTCAAAATGAAGGAGGTTCTCGATTTGATTCTATTCTTTTTTTTTTTAATTAAATAATATACTTACAGATCGGTCGTAGAAGTATTATACAAATAATTCAGTATATCAAGTAACTGATTTTGCCACAATTGAAATCGGTTTTTTGTGGAACACAATTTTATTACTCTTTCATGTTTACAAAATGTTTCCTCGTGTAAGCCGTGTACTTACAAAACGCGCGTGTACATACAAACTTAGATATTTTATGATAGAACTGAAATATACATTGGGTGCCGCCTCTCGTTAGAATTATAAGCCTAAACAAACGAAGCATATATAAGGGAAATATAACAAGTGAATTAAATGTTCCTCGTTTACGCAAGCTATTAATCAGCTAATGAGATTATTTTCATTTCTAACTTATTAAAATGTACATGTATATGTATATATATACAGTGTAGAAACCTCTTGATGGCGATGTCATTAGTGCTAAAATCTTTACGAATAAACATCTCATTTCTAAAGTGCATTTTAATTTTTACCCTGTTTGCCTAAATAAATTAAACCTGAAAAAATAGTAGTATAAGCTGAAAGCTAAGACATAGAATACAGTAAAAACTAAAGAAGAAATAATAATAACTACTAAAATAAAAAAAGAGTATTATCGAATTTAAAAATCAATTTGTTCAAAAATCTTGGATATTTACATTTTCAAGTATTGCTCGCTCAATAGCTGAACGGATTACAATAAAATTTAGTGTACAGATAAATTGTATTTGCATAGTATGGCTGTTAATTCATGCATGCCGAATCACGCTCGGCTTTACTTATGAATTTAACTGCGGGGTTGCCTGACTACTTATGGACTGTAAAAGAACCCTTATAATCGTAACTACGTAATTTAAAAAAAGCAATTATTAACCAATGACTAAATGAAGAAAAACTATGAAAAATCTTTACAATTTTTTACTTTCATCTTCATTTTGTCTCAAAATAATTTAACGCCCCGTTTTCGGGTCGAGACAAGAGTAAGAAAAGTTTGAATCAAAAGGAATATAAATAGAATAAAACAAACACAAAATGAATTAGTCTAAAGAGTGCAAATGAACAAATAAGTGCATGAAACGTATATCGAAGTATAAAGAAAGTTCATTAACTCCGCAAAAGGGGCATTAAAATATGTCAGGAACATTCCTTAGTCTATAAAAGAAGATATTTGTCCTTTTAATTGAATAAATACTCTTATTCATTTTGCAACTTGTTTACCAGTTGCCATTCACAATCATATAATAAAGTACCTATACAAGACATCATGCTGTCTTTCGTTGAAATATTTCTCCATCTAAAAATGTATATTATACATATTAAAAAACAACACAAAACCCCTATTTTTGTTTATTATTTATTTATTTATAAACGATAGAACCTTTTTGTTCTTTTTACTGAACTAGGTGTTATGGAAATCCATATTACTCAGTATTTGATTTCAATTATTTTGTTTAATTCCACTATCAATAGAGTATGTGTAGTACAATAGTATTAATTAGTGTAAATAACTTGATATGTACAAAAATTATAATTACCTGTAGTGTGTTGGAGTTTGACCATCTATAAACTGCAGGTAATACTAGTAATATAATAGTATAATATATTACTAATAAAGAAATAAATAAATATGTATTTGAGTGTTGGCAGACACACACATACTAATGGTAACGGAATTAAACAAAAAAAATTTAATCAAATAACATATTTGTTCTACTCTTTATATTCACATAGTATATGTAAAATTTGCATGTGTTTTTTTTATTAGGTGATAATGATGGTAATGGTAACCCCGTCTACACTATCAGTATATACTGACGAGACACCAGTAAGGGGTGATAGGTGACAATAAAAGCAGGTCCGTTAGCCCATCGTGACGAGTTCCACTAGAATTAACCACGATAGTTTCCAGGAAGAACCGCGTGTAGATCGACTTGATAGAGTACATTGCTAGCAATGGGGTTGTCTGATCCTATCTATTACTATCTATTACTAATAATCCCTTTCCCCCCAGTTTGCATGTTTTAATGACAAATTTGTAACTGTGTAGCTAGCTTTTTCAAGCAGGCGCTTCCTTTTTATTATTATTGTACCGTCTATTTTTGTATCTATATATTAGCAATATATCATTGAACAGTTGTAGCACTAACTAGAATATTACTATAATTCTATACATCAAAATGAAACGAATCGAAATTTATTATCGAATATCAGAGTTTATTATAAATAAATTCCATTCTCATTCATGACGAGACAACATGTATACCAAAAAATGCGAAATAATTGTGTTTCATCTTTTCTCCTATAATAAAATTATAACTTAACGATGTCTATACATAAGAGATGTTAAAGAAATATTAGTTAATGTTGCTGGCAAAATAATATTTTTTTTATTCCTTGTCTGTTTATCCCTGAATCGCACAAAATTATTGCACCAAATTAAAAACAGCTTTCTATCCTGAAAATTGGTGTATCTTATTGCGGATAAGAGATAGTTTTTCTTTTATTTTTTATCAAAATCAGAACTGAGATTCAATTCGGCAAATATTGTTTGTTATTGATGTTAAGTAAATAATTCCGAGATATTTCCGACCGATAAATTTAACTTAAGTATGTCATCAAGCACTTTGTACTCCGACAACATTTTCCAGGAATTTAATTTCTCCCCATATTAACATTTCATCACACTGTTTACACATTAATTTACGTTTTGTAAGATTTAATTTCTATTTACCTTGACATATTAACGTTTTTATATAAATAATGGAATAAGAACTTGGTTTACATTGACTCACATATAAACTTGTTGAGTCCTCCAAACATGTTGATTAACTAATCGTTGTATGTCTATCTTTGTAGATCTATCTATGTAGATACATCATTAGTGATAAAATTATTCAGAGAGAGAGAGAAAGGGATTAACAATTAACAGGGTCTTAAATCACCATTACCAACAATATTAGATCAACTGCCAAGCGTTTTCACCTGGAAACCGTCATAGTTAATGCTTAATGAATTTGTCATGATGAGCTATCTGACCTGCTTTCATCCTCATTTATCTCCCACTGGTGCTCTCTCAGTATATACCGGTAGCATAGGCGGAGTTAGCATTCCATTTTCACCCATTAAAGATAGCGTATATACAATTTGTAAACTTCAATGAGAATATATATATATATATATATATATATATACTCGTAAGATAGGATAGGCATCAGACAATTCTGGGGTGCCCCCCCCCCCTTTCAAATATGCCTATGATTATCACTTTCTTATAATAATAAGGAAAGAAACCCATGCCTTGTGTAATAAAGCAACAGTCGTGTTTCTGATATCTATTATGAAACCCAAAAAAATTTAGTTCAAGATGACTTCAGACATTTTATATTCTTATTAACTTTTTATATCATTAACAAATGCAGATTATATGAGTCTGTTTAAAAAGAACTTAATAGAAAGGCAATTAAGTTTACGTTTATTAAGTTTCATTGAAACTAACCATAGTGTAATTATATAAACATACTTTCAATCAAATTTCAATGAAAGTGGCTGCTTCACCTTTAACATCGCTCAATCCATTTAGAAAAGGTTTGGGTAAGTATTATTATAATTAAATCAGACCCTACTTCAGCATTATCTAAAAGAGATAAAATTTATCCCAACCCATTTGTTTTAAGCTTTCTAAAATTTAATGGATACTTCAAAACTTTAAAAATATTAATATTCTCTCATATTATTCTCCAACTCTTAATATTCAATTCAATAGTAACTAGCGCCAACACAGGATAATCAGGATAAAAAAGGCCTTAATAAATAGACAGGATTAGTTACAAATATTATGTATTTGCATCAATAAAAAATAATCTGTATTTCTTATTGTTATATTTATTATATGAGTAGTAAATGCAAAAGAAAGATGTATTTTTTGCAGTCAAACAATTACAGAATTACTATGAATATATTATATACAAGTCATTGATAAAATATCCGATATACCTATTTCATATTGATGAGTACTCAGTGATCTATAATCCTAATTTAAAGATGCATTTACACTTTTTTACAAATATATTTTTGTTATAGCATGCATAAAACCTAGCAATGTTTTAATGTTTCATGAGTGTCAAATAAATATGAAAGTAATACGAAGAAACAGACTACATAAACTTTTCTTCTTCATCAATCAATAATTCTGTATTCAAATTTGTATTCAGCCTTTCTGTAAATGCAGTTCAGTGGAAGTGTCTATATGTTGACATGGGACTAAATTGCTTTATATTGTCTTATCATTATTATTTATCTTATTCAATACCTACGACAATGCAATTTGAGCCTTGTATGAACACTTAACAATATATGACGAGCGAGCAACTTAGTTTTTAATAGAGCTAACATCTTCCATCCAGTTGGGCCATGATCTTATTTCATTGTAGAGCTTCCGTCCAGGACTCTCTGTAGCGATGAGCTGCCGGTGTGCAACCACGTGGTAGTCAGAAGTCAGATGACCATTCTCAACACCACACTTTAATAGCTCTTTTAGTGCATTAATCATAGAACTTGACAGAGGATCATCTAAAATAACATAAATAAAATTAATTATATTCTATTACAATGTTGTGATGGAGATGAGAAAGAGTGGCACTATTTTTTATTCCCAGGACATTATAAAAGATAGTGAAACATGAGTAAAATAATAAATCAGAATACATCAGAACAAGAAAAACAAAATTTGAAAGAAAATCTTTTGCCAACCCAGCTGTTGTAGGGACATTATCATCATCTTCCGGCGCTTACTTCAATTATTTGGGTTCATCTTAATATATTTTTCTTTTTCATTCATCTTTATCTGCAGTATTTTCAACATTCACTCCTTTCCTGGTCATATCATCTATTACACAGTTCATCCATCTCTATTTTGATCTTCCTCTACCATTAAAACTATCTTATTGTATCATTCATTATACATGCAAGTGCTATTACTTGGCGGTAGAATTAACTTGAAAGTCAGAAGCATAACAATTCTTGGTAAGTTGGTAGCAATTATTTTGTTTAATTCCGTTATCATTAGTATGCGTGCGACTGCCAACGTTTGAAGTTTGATTATTATTATTATTAGAAGTTCTACAACATTCCACATTAATCAGCAATCTCCGACTGTTATTCAATCCATGCACATACTCGTATACTATATTGCAACACATATTTCATCTCTTAATAAGACATCTTCAGACACATTAATAGATCACTATTCAGAGCCTAGTGTTAACCGTTCGACGCCTAAACTGTTAATTCGCATTGTTAGCAAACGCACGTATACTGATGGTAACGGAATTAAACACAGTGTTCCACAAAAAAACCTGACTTCATTTATTACAAAACAAGTTATTTTGATTTAAAAATTAAACTATTGAACCGATTTTGATAATTTTTTTCTCTGTAAGTATATCCTTTCAAATAAATAAAAAATCTAAATCTGTTTAGGACTGACGGAGTTTTAAGGTAACAAACATAAAAAATATGACCGAATTATGTAGCTTCTTCTTTTTGAAATTGGTTTGAATTCTAATCTTCTAATCTGTGATATGGGCTTCCGCAAAATAACACCCAGTTCGATAAAATATTTGAAAAATTCTTGGTAATTAACAAAGGTACACTCAACCGTTATAGATGACCTTGTACAAAATGTGCCTCTGGTCCCTTTGCAATATAAATCATGTTTGCTGAGCCATCCCACTAATCCGATTTAATTTTAATTTATTTAAAAGCTTGTAAATAAATGTGATATTTTGTTAGGTGATTGTAAACGGCTAAACGGATTTGGACTAAATTTCAACCGATTCACTTAACACATAGGATATTTTAGTTCCTCTTGAATAATTTTAACCCAATTACGGAGTTCACAGAAACAAAGTAACATTGTAAAAGCTGAATGTAAATTTTAATTGAAAACAGAATCGTCCGGGTGGCTGAGTGATGCCAATTTGACTCTACTCGGAGGCTTAAATTTTACAATTTAATATTTATTGACTCTATCTGATTATTTTAAATACAATACAACAGTACAAAATATGATAAACTTTGCTTAGTATTTACTTGCATATGGGAGATAAAATGGAAAAGATTCACATAATGTTTTTTTTCCTATACACGTACACGAAACAAAAAAACTGCTGATCACATAAGAATTGTGAAAAACTCTTGTTTCATCATCATCATCATCAGTTCCATCAAAAATACAATATAACAGTTTTACTGCAATACCTTGCCATTTAAGCAACTTCCTAAAATGAGGCTCTCAAATGGAAGTTGTACTTTTTTGTATTTAAGCTGCTCCCCAAATGGAAAAAAATCCCTTAAATGATAATAATCCAAAATTATACTTTACAAATTTCAAACATATTTTTTCATTTCCATTTCTACTAAAAATATTAATAAATAAATATGTTGCAAACTCCTTAATTCTTTTATAGATTTTATTGTTATAATATTTCGATACTTCTTTATTTTTATAATTGTCACATGTCAGTTTCATATCGCTTTCGTAGTCTGTCGTCTTTATTATATGTAGTTATTTTTCTTTAAACCCATTGTTTAATTATAATCAATACATCAACATACAGTCTATAATATCACCTACAAAATAAAGACTTAAATTCGTTGTTACAGAACTTTTATGTGATCTTTCAAAAAATAATATTATAATATGTAAAATGTTTTAGTTAAGCAAGTAATTTAGGTATGTCTGAAATTTAACAGGTAATACAGATGTTGCCATTCTTAAAAGGTAACGCTTCATAGACGAGGTGAATGCACTCCAGGATGATGCTGAATCATTATGGCTGTGTACAGAAATCAATACTTTTTACATTAAATTTAAGTATAATAAATTTGAATGCAAATACATTTCCGATTAAATACCCTGAGACATTACGAAGGAAGTTTCAATACAAATAGAAAAATAATAGAAAAATTACAGTAAATATTGATTTTAATCCTTCAACTTAATACATTGGTGGATATTTCTTTAATAAGTGAAGGAACTAGGTAATCAGCCGTATGCTCACTATAACTTTTGTTTATTTGAGTACCTTTTATACAAAGCCGTTTTCACGCGACCGCCCAATGTGTATACGGCATGATTAATTTTATTCTAATAATTTTTTGTTAAAAAGTTTTCCTCTATATTTATAGCAATCTATATTTAAATTACTTATATACAGTGTAGAGGTAAAATATTGCAATGTTCAGGAAAGGCCACTATCACTGTTATAATACTGCATCTTAATGTTTGAAGACACAATATTTCGTAAGATTCTTTGTTTCAACGAAGCATCTAGAAAAATATAATTTAAATTTAAAGTTTAAAAACGAGATAAAACGGCGTATGGCGACACTGTGTAATTAACGTTTCGGTTTGTTGTGTTTCTTTTTTATATATAATAATTTTATATTTATTTTATTTTTCCTTTAATAAAGAATCTGAAGTTTTAATTTTCTTAAATATTGTTTTTTTTTTAATACTAATTTATTATCAAATTTTACTTTTTTTATTTTTTAATAGTTATATCTAGGTATTATTGTTTTGTTATTGACAATGTTGCTGTAGTTTTCAATAGTATTGTTTAATTTTGTGTTTCCTGCACTTGTATTATACAACTTTAATGGCTGTAAAATTATTATTTTAGTGTGTAATTACGTATTGTATACCTGTCTGTTTTGCTTTAAATAAATAAATGTCTTATATTTTTACTATAGAAAGGTCATTATTTGCGAAAAAGAAATGGTAAATGCATTTGCTATCACAGACAGCTCGGTAAAAGATTTCGTTTAGTATTAATTCTCTCTTACGTTGATGTGGTATTTTAAGTTACCTTAATGGGGAACAGCACTCTTATAAAAAAATAAACATTGCAGTGACATATCTGAGAGTGCATACAGGTCTTCACTTATCCCCTCCCCCTTAAAAATAATCCTAAGTACGCCTTACCTATCATCTCTCACTGGTATTTCACTAGTTTAAACCAACAACACAGGTGAGGTTACTATTCTATTTTTAAACGAATTTTATAAAAGAAGATTTTTTCCATTGTTTCTGCCTACCCTAATGGGAGACAGGCGTGACAGATATGTATGTATGTATTTTATAAAAGAAGGTTCTCAATTAAGTTTTTTTTTAATATTTGTTAACTCCATTAGTTATAAATCCCATATAATAGATTGGTCCCATAGAATTTGTATCAAATTTAGTTCAATAGTTTAAGTTGAAATCAAAGTAACTATGCTACATTTGAAGTCGGTTTTTTAACACAATCTTTAACTATCATCCAGTAAAAAACATACTTATTCTATTATAATTTATCGAAAGAGAGCTTTTTGGGCAAACTAAAAAATTAAGATGTAACTTAAACCGTGACTTTACCGCAGTTGGTGAATAAAAGGTTAAACAGTTAAATTACAAACTTACTGTTAAAGTTTCCAAGGAATGCGATTCCCAAGGACTTTTTGTTATAACCTCTAGTATGCGCACCGACGTGTAACCACCCGGCGCCCTCGTACACTTTACCGTTACCACCAATGATAAAACTGAAAAAGGAGTACACAATTATTACGTCTTTTAAGTTTTTTTTTTATTTCTTTAACTTCTTTCTTTTTAACACTTAATAATTATATTTACACTTAAATATTATTACGTTTGTCTTTTATACAAACATTTCGATTTCATTCAATTGTTATTCTTTATTTCTTTAGGGTAAGTACAATTCTTACGTCGGCATCGCAACCTCTCGCCTAGCATTGACAATACGCAATTTGTTGTTATCTAGTTATCTAGATAAATAATTAACATATAAATGTAAATTATTGTTTTTATGAAAATAAAATAAAAAAAAAATATTCAAATAAACTCGTTTACGAGCTCTTGAGTTTCCGAATGTTTTATCTGCTGAAAAGAACATGAATCACATCCTAATTGTACACAATATTTAAAAATATCCTAACTTTCGAAAATTAGAAGAAAAAAATGTTTGTTATGGAATACCCATAAGAGGTCCCACTGCCAGCAATATATACCCTATCAAATCGATCTCCACTTAATCCTTTGAACCCAATGTAATTCCTAATCACGATGGTCCAATTTTGTTATACTTCACCTATCAGTCCTCATTGAAGTTCTGCCAGTGTACAGTGATAGTGTAAGCAGTTACCATACAATTATTATATATTATAAAAAAAACTCTCAAAAGTTGTCTAAAAAGATCTGAGCAAGAGCGATGGGCATTTTGTTTTTTTGACAAAATTTCCTTTTATGTAACACTTATAAAAGAATAAAAAAATGATATAAAAATAAAATCAAATTTTTACTTTTAAACTTTCGCGCTGCATATTTGACACATCGAGTTAATTTAGAGAAATTGTCATAGTTTGCTTAAATGATCACATTAATTGCCGTTTATTGTAAACCATAAAAGGGAATTGTGTTCACCAACAATTAAAACAACATTTAATTCACGGGCAATACTTCATTTCGTGTGCGCAGGGCATAACTGTACGTAACAATAAAAAATATTGGTGGGGAATATTTTAACTGAGCAATTGGAAAACCTATAAATTGATTGTCTATTGTTCTCAATTGTCTATTGAAATCACAAACATTTTATTCTATCTAAATACATATTATAAAACAAAGTCGCTGGTTATGTTCTTCTGTTTCTCCACGCAACAGTTTTTAACATGCGTTTGAGTTTAATATAAATATTGTTCTTTTACAGAAGGTAAGTATATATCTTAATTATACTCGTACTTTTGTATAAATAGAATTCCCAACTCGGCTACCAAGCGTAGCTAGTTGCCACGCTTGGTAGTCAGTTAGCCCATCGTGACGAATTCAACTATAAATTAGTCACGATGGTTTCAAGGGGGAACAACGTGGAGGTAGACCTGATAGCGTATATTAATAGCAATAGAGACTATCGTCCCCATTACTAACAATAGTTGACTAGTAGAGACCGCCGTTAGGTGTAAAGTCCGCTATATGTTTAAATAAATAAACAAAATAATAACATTCGTATAAAGCCGTGACGGGTTATTAATCATTTATAAATATTTATAGATGCCGATGTATGGAACTGATAACAGGTAAATTACCTCTGTGCGTTGTATACCTATACCTACTAAGAATTACTCAGAAGTTTTTTCGCTACTAGCCTCGGCCTAGGGAAAGTACCGTGCGAAATACTTAGTAGGTAATCAAATAGAATGTTATTAAGTATTGATTGTAACATTTCAAATGTCAATAAATAAGGTTTAAGCAAAAAAAGTTAATATTTTTGGAGAATAAATATTATTATCATTAAATTACAACGCTGACCATATCTTAAGTGTTATAGTACAGAACTGATAATGGTGCTAGTGTAACTACAGTAATCACTCTACTCAGAGAAATCAAATCCACAAAAAACTTATAAATGTATCTGCTGTATCCTGTGGCTTTGGTCTCATGAATCATATAAAGTATTCTACCTTATGGCCCCGGTATGAAATAGGCCACCCCGTCCATTTTTCGTGAGTGTCGTATGAGACAACTTATTTCTTATAGGTATCTAATAATCATGACATTCATCTAATTCTCAAGCCAGGATAACCTATGTTATGGGAAACTAGGCAATGAATGCCTGTGAACAAAAACAACTGGGTGTTCTGGGTACAACCCAGAACACGCAGCCCATGCAGACCAGGGGTTCCCAAACTTATTTTGTTTACTGTCCACTTTGAGAATAAATTATTTTTTAGCGCCCTCATTTTTTCACCTACTTAAAAACCACTATTACTTCAAGATCAACAAATCATCGTCCAAGCCTCTTCACAACGCCCCCATTTTTTTTGGGTCTGTTACCCCTTTAGGCCTGCAGCGCCCACAAGGGGGCGTTATCGCCCACTTTGGGAAAGGCTGCCATAGACAATTCAAATTATAATCTATTTATGTTGTAAAATAAAAAATCAAAATTAATACTTACTTATAGCCAATATCCCAAAAGCCAAGGTTCTCTATTTGGTTGGTCTGTATATTCCTCACGAGCTCAGCGCAGCGCTGATCGGTGTTGCAGGTGGGCGTCACTGTATGCGCAATAATGACGAGGTCTACAGGCCTGGGGAGGTACTGCACATGGGCTGGGTTCAGTCCATCCCACTCGCTCTTACTCACCACTCCGCAGTCTAGAAATTAAACGTAAAATCCATACAATTATGTAAATCATAGATTCCCAAATTATTTTGGACAAGAGACCCCTTTTCCAAAATGAAATGATACCTTAGACTTGCATATCCAAATAACTTTAAAAGTTCTATATCTAGTTTTTTTTTTTCTATTCTTACAAAACACTTACCAGTTTAAAAACTTTATAGTTGGTTAAGTGAATAAGCTCGATATCATTTTCTCGTCAAAATTTAACAAAATATTTACTTGTTAAATTTTCATTAGAATACATAAAATTAAATAAACATCAATTGTTATTAATAATTATTAAAAATTGAGTAGGTATTTACTTAAAAAAACAATATTAATTAATAGGGGTCGATTTTTAGATCCCGTCGATTCCCAAAATATGTTTTCATTTATGTCGACGTCTGAGAAACCGATTTCGACCCCAAAGAATCGATATTGACCATTTTGTAAATGCCTGATGTAAACGATTACTTATAGTATGCATAATTTATATTAATTTCCTCAATAAAAGACTTCAATAAACTCTGATACTCAACAACACACAAAGAGTACTTTGGTTAACATACTATCTACATTCTGTTATATCTATGATGCTTGCTCTTTATATCTATGGATGAGTGTTACCATTTTCCTTGAGGAAAGCCATCAGTTTATTTGCAACTCTAAGTTCCATTAAAAAAAAAACAATCATAACAAAACTTGTATAAGAAATTACAAAAAGAAATCGAGTCAAAATTGGTGTTGTAATCGCATAACTACAAAATATAAACAATTAAGAACTTCTTTCTTTAAAACGTTAGTAATCAAACATTTGTAACTGCATAGCTTAAACTGCTGATTTCAAAAACATTAAATTTTGTTTCCCAACTTTCATTTAAAATACGTACTTACAATTTTGTTAGGTTATAGATAATTCAGGTATGATATTTATGTATTTAATTCAATTTTATTGATCAATAAAATACCTACAAAGGATTACTTAATTATTTATTTATTGTACACAAAAACTACATCATATTACTACATGTAATTTTACTTTAAGATTTGTGCTTAAAACAAATATTTCAATAAACACTCACCTCCATTCACATAACTCCACTGTACGGTGACAAAAAGTATAAAACAATATATTAAATGCATTATTGAACAAAGTCACTGCAACCATCTATAGCAAGAGAACGAATTATACTGAATCACTTTATTCATACTTTGCATGCAAACATGTTGGAACCGCAAGATAACAGTCTGTCCCTCTCATGCATTATAATATTGAAACGAGACAAAAAAAGTTGAATGTTCTTGTTCCTTTTTAATCATATATAATTTGCAGAATAATTAAATTAACCATAGATAATTTTTTTACAAAATGAAAAATAAATTGACAATCCATTTAATATTTTGCTTAAATGTCTCGATTCTGAGATCATCTCTCTCCAATTATTTCTGAACCCAACATTTTAATTTGATAGTTTCTGTTTTATGATAAGATGGCCAACTATTTTTTGTTTAAAAAGAATACAGTTTGCAAGTATTTCATCAATGAAAAAAAAAGAAGAAAAAACGATAAAAACTATATTTTCTTTTAAAACATATTTTTGTTCAAAGTGGATTTTTTTTTTGCTAAATGAGGATGTTTGTCTAATAATATAGCCGCATCCGAACAACTTTCATTTAGCATATTAAATTTGACTGTTAAGACGGCAGATAATATTTTTACAGAAAGTTGCGACTTCTCACTGCTCCAATAATCATTCCCTAGTGAAAATACCCTTTCAACAGCAGCATTAGTGCCTGGACAACATAAGGAAATTTCTATTAATACATTTTATACTTTCTTTATGTTGTCGGATATGTTCTACTCTAAAATGCCGAAAGATTTCGACCCATCTTTTGTTAAATAAAATAATCTAAAAAAATGTTTTAGAAATACAAATGAGTATAAAATTATACAAATTAGAACTTTCAGAGTACAGGATTTGAAAAGAGTACGGTTTGCGAAAAAAGAGTACAAAATTCAGTAAATGAGTATAATTGGTCACCTTATTTATTATTTTATGGAAATTATTAGATGAAGCGACGACCTCGAATGCATTGCAGGGAATCAGTGGATACAGACAGCTTGAGACCGTTCCTTATGACGATTTGTGAGGGAGATAGTTAACAGCTGATATGATGATGATCATAATTGTTTTATGAATCATTATAAACTAAATTTGTAACAAGTTTGATGTAAATCTGTTAGAAATTTAGTTTATCTATAGTTCATATATATATAAGGACTATCCTTACTATAAAGATTTTACTGGAATATCAAGTTGAAATTTTAATTTATATATATTTTATTATTTAATTTATATAATGTACAAAACAAGTAAAAATAACCCTGTTTAAAGCTTTTTGTCAGGTGTTCTACACGAGTAGCTTGTGGGTCAACTATAGTCAAAAAACTTACAATGCTTTTCGAGTCCAATATAATAATGCCTTCAGGGCACTGTTGGGGCTACCTAGTTACTGTAGTGCGTCACACATGTTTGCATGAGAACATACGGATGATGTTTACGCAATACAGCGCAAACGAATTGTTTCGCTGTTGGGTAGGGTGCGTGTTAGCTCAAACAGTGTCCTGGAGACAATTGCTAACAAAATGGACTGTCCTATCCTAAAATATTGGGTGAGACAAGTTATCAATGTAAGAGCATTATGACCACTCATTTACCAACATAGGTTAAGTCAATTTATAACTAACAAAATGGGCTTTATGTAGTCTAATTAAATAAATATTATTGATATTATTATATATAGATTTAGAGAATAACGCCTCAGAATCGATCTTATTACGCTTATCAGACGCGCAAGGAAATTAGTTATAAATTTGTAAACAAACAGACCTTTTTCCTCAAGTCGGGATTTTTTGTAATAGATAATAAAATATGAACCCTGCCTGTTTTATCAGTATACGAATATACTACCGGCTACCAGTGAATGATGATAAGTGGGAATGAAGACAGACCTAGTGGCATGGTAACGAATACAAAAGGAATTAACCGTTATTGTTTCCAGGGAGATGTGACGTACCATGTGGAGATCAACTCGACAGGTTTATATATGGTGGTGTGTGTATTATTTTTTTATGGTGTTTTTAGTCCTTATTATAACCTAAACCTGCAAATAACTTCAACTTTTATCTTTTTGATTGATAGGTAGAGCAAATTAAATAATTATAGTTATATATACATATATAATAATCGAGAAGTGGACAGCAGCGTCCCTTTTAAAACATCACTAAAGCCTCGTTGCCAAGCTTGACAGGCGGGTTGACAACCGCAGTTAGGCTTTAGCGATGTTTTAAGAGTTTAATTTTACATATTTATTTAAAAATCTCGAATCACAGAGGAATGCAACCAAATCGTCAACAAACAAATATTTCAATATAAATGAAATATAACAAAGTATTCTACGTATTTCGTTAGGATATAACCTACACAGTACATGAACTAAATTTTATTTAAATCTTTTCAATAATTTTTACGTAAAAGAGTAACATCCTTACAGACATTCTCATTTATACGTGTAATTGTAGCAAAAGTGAACGTTCAAATATCTATGTACCTCCAAAAAAAAACTTAAACAAATTGACCTATTTTGTTTTTCTAAATATTAAAAATAGCCAAGGGAGTTCCCGCTATTTTTATTATTCTTTTTAATTGGAAATGCGTGTACTTATTATCTGTTTATGCATATTTCGTGTAATCAATTATCTGTTATACACAGCCGGCCAGATCAAGTTCAAATGTCATCTAAATATATCTCAATATTATACAAATTCAATACAGTATTACGGGAATTGGAAAGGTCGAAAAGTCTATAGGTACATCCCGTTTATTAGTTGAGAGAGTATTCAGTATTTTATTTTTCTTGAATCAGTCAATTTTAATAAAATTGATAGATATATATCTGAAATAAAAGCATATTGTTTATTACGTATATTTACTTTTTGGATGACAATTTTCTTTCTTTCTAAATAAAATGTTATATTAAGAATACAGCAGATAGAGACTGCACAAACTTAGTTCGTCATTTGCTTAGATATCTCTATTCCACTCGTGATTCTGTCGTTAGACGCGTTTATTTGTATGTTTGTGTCTCCATTTATGGGGGAATAGGATAGTGAAGTTACAAAGTTCGCAGGCATAACACTATCCTTAGGAATAACACCATATAAAAGATATCATGAACGTCACGATACTCTTTAATGTCCATAGTATCGTTACCAATATTACAAATGGGAAAGTGAGTTTGTTTGTTTGTTACCTAATAGCACTTTGACGGCTTAACCAATCTACATGAAATGATAGTTGTACTATATGTGATGGAGAAGGATTTATCCGAGTCAGTAAACATATCCCGATTACGCGGACAAAGTTGCGGGTAAAAGTTAGTATAGTAGATGGTACAATAACGGTGCTGTTCATGCCTAGATGACGGTTACGACTTTTCAAGAAATGGGCTATTATCCTATTTATCTATTTGGTACATCGACAGATTACAAACAAAACTTTTTCTAATAGAATATAACAAAAGCATTATAAGTTTGCAACCCAATTATATACAACATTAAGAGAGATAACAGGAACACGCACACTAACACGCACACGTGTTAGTGTACGTGTAGTGTGTGTTTGCAATAAAATTCATTAATTCATTCATTCATTCATTCAGGCACACTAACACGCACACGCACGCACGCACACACACGCACATTCGCTAGCATACACAAACCCGCTCTTGGACTTTATTAGAATAATTAGAATTATAAAATATTGTATAGTTAACGTTAGATAGTTTATTTTGTTTTTTTTTTTTACATTATATGTTATTTACTTACATTGTTACAACTTGTCTGGAGGTGGTGGCCTGGTGGCTGCAGCACAGGTTTTCCTAGTTCAGCCATCAGTCTTCACAATACATACACTGTGTATTCTTAAGTGAATAGTTTGTTCATACAGTATTGTGGAGAATGAATAAATATTTTGAATTTGAATTAACACAGATGAAACAGCATATATTATATTATATATAATATTTGTAATTAATTTTATATATAATTATTGTTAAATATAATTATTATTATATATAATTATATATAATATTTATATATAATATTTGTTTGTTAATCTGAGTTGTATAAATAAAATACCACACCACAAGAACGAAGTCGCTTACGGGACGTTAAGCATTTATGCGTTTAACGTGCCCTCCAAAACAAAAAAGCAAGTGACAATTATTTTTGTCTGTATTGGCTGAAGTTATTGGTACTGAGGTCAATCTAGAAATACCAAAAACCAAACCGAGCCAAGCTTATATGGCGTGGTTAATAGAAAAATATCCGTCTCTCGCGGATCACAGAAAAGTTCCATGTCGATCCAAGAATTGCGTTGCTATGATAACGACAAAGTCGTTATCATTGTATCAGTCGTAATCTGTCCACTGCTAAACATACATCTACCCCTCTTGAGGAGTTTTGCCAGTAGTTGTCACGCTTTGCAGGCGGATTAGCAACCGCAGTTAGGCTTTGTTGATGTTTAAAGAGAGACGCTGCTGCCTATTGCTTGACTATTAAGATCCCTTAGTCCCCTCCTACGACACCCACGGGAAAGGAAGGGAAAGATGGTGTAAAAACTCATAAAAATAGAATAATAGTCGAAGAAATAATTATCTTTATTATTATTTATAACATATATATGTAATTATTATAAATAATTATTCCCTTTTATTGGATAAGTCCGCCATTGTACTCATTCTTTTCTTGAGAATTCTGTATCATATAATTTAGGACTTTACTATACAATAAAGTGTTACAAACAAACAAATCATATTACAGTTACCAACCATTACTCAAAAATTATAAATACAAACATAAATGATATTCTGACATTGGAAATATCTCACAAAATATTATTTTTTCACATTAATTTTTTATGCAACTTAGAATGGGCATGAGCTGCCGACCCATCTGATGGAAAGTGATAACCGTCGCCTATAGACATGAGCAATACCATGGACATAACAGAATACCTGTAATGTTTCATGTATTTAGTCCTTTATATCTTCGAATATGTATACAAACTAGATATCGCGTCCAATATTAACAAAAGTCAAATATGTTCATCATCCGACTATACTACTATAAAACTGTAAATGATTTCATTGTAAATTAAACATTAATTACAAATGTTAAAACACATTTTTTCTTGTTCCAAAATAAGGTAAATTCATTGAAATTAAGAATCATTCATTCTATAAGTGAAGCAACACTCATATTTACTTCACCGACTTTGAGGCGTTAATTATTGATGGTCGAAGCTCAATACAGCTGAAGTGAATGAGTAACAATTAGTTTCTAATAGAGCTGACGTCTTCCAGCCAGTTGGGCCAGCTTCTTATTTCGTTATACAGCTTTCGTCCAGGGCTGTCTAAGTTCGCCAGTTGACGGTGTGCGACCACGTGGTAGTCGGAGGTGAGGTGGCCATTCCTAACGCCGCAATTCAATAGTGCCTTCACTGCATCTATCATTGAGCGTTTCACCTGATCATCTGGAATAACATGAATATATTTATGTAAGTATAATGCAATAATTACGTATTTTTTTAATGGATGACAACGGAATGTTTACCCCGCCTGCGCTAACGGTATACGCCGGACGGCACCAGTGAAAGGTGATAGGTGAGCATGAAGCAAATCAGGTAGCCCATAGTGACGAATTCAACAAGAATTGTTCACGATGGTTTTCAGGGAGGACCACGTGGAGGTTGATCTAATAGGGCATATTGCTAGCAATGGGGCTGTCAAACAATCCCTTTCCCCCCAATAATTGTGTATTCTAAATACCTGTTAATTGTAACTGTTAGTAATTTGATTTTCCCTCCGGAAATAAAATGTATCTAATACCTATTAAGTGGGAGGACAGGGATTATTAATAATGTGGACTAATAGCCCCATTGCTAGCAAGCCCTGTCAGGTCGACCTCCACGCGCTTCCCCTTGAGAACGATTGTGATTAATACTTCCTGTATTCGTCGCGATGGGCTAACTGACCTGCTTTCATACTCATCTATCATTCTTCACTGATGCCCCGCCAGTGTATACCGATAGCGCAGACGCGGTCACCATTTCATTGTCATCGATTAAAAAAAATACCTATTAAGTTGACAGTTAATTAGGTAAAGCCGTAACTTACTGTTAAAGTTCCCAATGAATGCGATACCCAAGGCCCTATTGTTATATCCTCTAGTATGCGCACCGACGTGTAACCACCCGGCGCCCTCATACACTTTGCCATTACCACCGACGATAAAACTGAAAAAAAAGTAAAATTATTTCTTAGTTAATGTATTTTTTATAAATACTTGGTCCCGTCATAGAATAGGCCACCCCTTCCTATCCCGTGGGTGTCGTAAGAGGCGACTAAGGGAGGGCGAGGCATGAACAGCAGCGTCCCTCTTAAAATATCTCCAAAGCATAACTGCAGTTGCCAATCCGTCTGCCAAGAGTGGCAACTACTGGCAAAACCCCCCAAGGGGGAGGCTTATGCTCAGCAATAGACAGTTAAAAACTGATATGGTATATACAGAAATTTGAAAAGTGGTGACACATTGTGTTTTATTATCGCCATCAAATAGAGATTTTTGCTGTGAAGCAGTTGTGTTTGCATGACTGTGTTGCAATTTGAAGGGCAGTGAAATTACAAGATATTGAGGCATAACACATTGGCCCTCAGGATTAGCAACACATACATAGATAACACATGAAGGATATCATGGACGACACAGAATATTCTGTTATGCCCATGGTACTGTTCATGAACTGTTACCACTTTCCATCAGGTGGGCCGTCAGTTTGTTGGCGATTGTAAGTTGCATAAAAAGAGGAATGTTTTGCTCCTCAGGAAATTATTAAAACATTTGTATTTTAAAGCATCGGCAGATACTTACTTGTAACCAATATCCCAAAAGTTTCTAGTTTCCATATGGTAATTCTGAATACTCCTCACGCGTTCAGCGCAGCGCTGATCAGTGTTACAAGTGGGCGTCACTGTATGCTGGATGATGACCAGATCAACGGGCCTGGGGAGGTACTGCACATGGACTGGGTTCAGTCCATCCCACTCGCTCTTACTGACCACTCCACAATCTAAAAATAAACAAAATTATCATGCTATACCACGATAATACCAATCCTGTTTTCCTCAATAATTAAAGATCCCACAAAGACAAACCGACCTCACTTGTAACAAAATTAGTTATTTTAGTTTAAAACTAAACTACTAAACCGACTTACGACTGAAGGTTATCCAAATACCAAGGGGAAGCTTTGTACAAAAGTCGTTTGCTTGGGCATCTCTATCCCATTCGTGTTTCTATCGTGAACCAGTTGTGCTTGCAGGGTTGTGTTTCGGTTTGAAGGGTGGGATATGGCAGTGAATTTACAGGGTACAGAGAAATAACACTCGATTCCTCAAAAATAGCAACGCATGGGGGGTATCATGGGCGAAACAGTATACACTGTTATGCCTATGGTACTGCTCATGTCTATAGGCGACAGTTACCACTTTCCTTTAGGTAGGCCGTCAGCTTGTTTGCCATTCTGAGTTGCATAAAAAAAGACTAATAAAATTTCTATGCGAACAATCTGTAAGTATTCCTTTCAGATAAAAAAAGAATTTTCCAAATCTATCTAACAGGAGTTGTAAACCGATTTTTAAGTTAATTTAAAGTTATAAGGTAACAAACATACATAAAAAAGCAACCGAACTGAGAACCTCTTTTTCTTGATGTCGGTTGAAAATGGCTTTATTGAATAATTACTATCGTGAGTCGTGATATATTGTAATCATTTATATCTCATTTTACTCACGTATTATCTTCAGGGTTAAAGGTTTGGGGGTAAGGTCTCCTATGCAGTTCAAAACCAATCGGATGGAAACTAACATGTAAATAAAGCCAATATATATAATTATAATAAAATGGCTTTATTGCTATCCAGAAAGTAAACGTTTAAATTTTTAATAATTATTAAGAAATACTGGACATTAGAATTTCCACTGAGATATTCCAAAACACAATTTTAAAGTTAGGATATATGATTATAATGAAAAATGTTAATATTTTATAGATAATATAGATAGAGCATCGAGCCTAAAAAACGGGACAACTTTTTGTCAGCTAATTGTCAAATTAACTGATACGTTTTTTTTTATCAGTGTTCTATATACTTATGCATAAATGTATCTTGAGGTATTATTTAATAAATAAAATGAGTATTCATGCATTAAAAAGATGCAGAAATTATAAAACAAAATATAAATAGAAGTTATAAAGAATCGAATCAGAACTATTTATCACGCAAAATTGTATGAAAAAGTTGAATAGTTTTTCTCGAAGCATTTCTATGGAGACACTCTATCTATATAATCTAAGGTTTGTACCTGAAACGTGACCTATTCTCCATCCATAGTGTCATATTATCTAAGCCTACACATGCTTATTTGAACTATACAATATCTAATACACTCGGCAAAATATGCATATGTCGGGAGCAAGGGATTATTAGTAATAGGAAATATATGCTGTCTATGCTGTCATATATTTGATCACGAGGAAGTCAATATTTCCTCGTGATCCCCTTGGAAATCATCGTACTTAATTTCAAGTGAACTTATGAAGTCATATCTATGTTTATGCGTGCAATGCAGTCAGGAAATTGTTTGTTTATTAAAAAGTTTACAGTATCAACCGTTAAGTGCCCACTGCTGAACATAGTCTCCCCCATAAGGGAGACTTTGCCAGTAGTTGCCACGCTTGACAGGCAGATTGGCAACCGCAATTAAGTTTTGTTGATATATTAAAAGAAACGCTGCTGTGTGGTTGATGAATGGACATTCATCAACCACGCAGTTCTATGGGGAAAAGGATTGTTAGCAATGGAGTTTGACAGCTCCATTGCTAGCAATATACCTTATTAGGTCGACCTCCACGTGGTTCCCCCTGGAAACCATCGTGAACAATTCTTGTTGAATTCGTCACGATGGGCTAACTGATCTGCTTCATCTTCACCTATCATTCTTCACTGGTGCCCCGCCGGTGTATACCGATAGCGCGGGTGGGGTTACCATTCCAATATCATCCATTAAAAAAAAAAAAAAAACACACAGTTCTCTTAGTCAACATATACCTACGGATACCTACGGAAAAAGAAGGGGTGGCTCATTCTATTATCACCTATTAAAAGAAACGGATACGTCTGATGTTATGTCATAAATAACATCTTATGTTACTCACAACGGCAACATCAACAAATCCCTTTTAACACTTCATCAGGCATTATAGCCGAAAGTAAAATTATTTTATTTATTTATTTATCTATTTATGTACCTAATTTTATCTCATTCAAAACTATATACCTACTCTTTTTGTACACATTCATTACATTACATTAACATTAGTCAAAACAAAATTGTACAAAGAGTTTTGTGGGCCTACAGTACTTCAAACATCAAGGCAACCTAAATTTATTTGAAAATAATTACTTTAGCTGTAATTTAATGGACGAGAATTTGTTTTAGAACCTCAATTTAATCGCTTAAAGGTTTACTTGTCAACAAAAAAGTGATTATCAAATTGTTAACAAATCTCTCGAATAACGTTTAGTAAAATGAATGTATTTCAAAATAAACAGTATTCTATCGTAAATACAAACATAGTGAGAAACTGGAACTAAACCACGAAATACTCCATAGATCATCATCATCTTTATATCAACCATTAACTGCCTGCTAAACATAGGCCCTCCTTCTATTAAGGAATTTTTCTAGTAGTTGCTATGCTTGGCAAGCGGGTTGACAACTCCTGCTAGGCTTTCGATAATGTTTAAAGAGGACACTAAGGCCCATCCCTCGACCATTAAGTTCCCTTGGTTGCCTCTTATAATATCCATGGGAAAGGAAGTGGTGGCCCATTCTATGCCGGGTCCATACGGCAAACGATTTATAGGCATAGATACTTTAAAAAAATTTTTTTAATACGCGAAATAGGTTGTTTATATGCAGATATTGCTTTACAATGCATATTCTTTATTTAAAAAAAATAGCTTTGATTAACACAAAATTAATATGCTATCATAATTTAAATAATCTCTGTCGATTATAAAGATTGTTTTCCACACAAAAAAAAAACATAAATTATAGCAAAAACATTTATTTTTATTTAAAAAGCAGTTTATAACTGACAGAGCTATATATGAGGTAATAAATAAATAAATAAATAAAAAACAACCGAAATAAGAACGACGAACGAGATAAGAACGAGATTCTTTTTTCAGACAGTTGCAAAACATTAAGACAAATTAAGAATTTAATTCTTTTGGAAATCTTTTAAAATTCGAATAACTCTATAAATTTCCTTTCCATAAAACTATTTTCATTTTAATATAAACTATTTTATGTCGATTTTGATAGTTGTTTTTAATTGGATTTACTATGAAACTAATACTAAATTTGTTTATTTTGCTGATGATACTTTTTTTATTACAAAAATAAATATAAAAGATATATACTCACCTCCTTTCACATAACTCCATTGAAGGAAAATAACAAGAACAAAACAATGTGTTAAACCCATTTTAGAACACTGCACCGATATACAGCAACGGTATAATATATACTGATTCACTTTAGTTCGTATATCTCTATATTTCACATCTGTATAAGAAAAATATCACTCTATCCTTATCATACTGTATAGTGTTAAAATGTGATGGGAAACTTAAATAATTTATCTGGTCATTATTACCTATACTGATAATTTTATATGCAAAATACCTAACAATTATCATTTGGGTTCTTTATAATAAAGATGAGTGTAAGACTATTTTAATGTCTGACTAATGAATTTGATAATTCAACTTTTGATGTTTGTGGGTTCAATCCTCGCCTCGGTCCAAACAATACAACCGGGGGGAAAGGGATTGTTAGCAATGGAGTTTGACAGCCCCATTGCTAGCAATATACCTTATTTTTTTGTTAATGTATGATAATGGAATGGTAACCCCACCCGCGCTATCGGTATACACCGGCGGGGCACCAGTGAAGGATGATAGGTGAGGAGATGAAGTAGGTCAGTTAGCCCATCGTGACGAATTCAACGAGAATTATTCACGATGGTTTCCAGGGGGAACCACGTGGAGGTCGACCTAATAAGGCATATTGCTAGCAATGGGGCTGTCAAACTTCATTACTAACAATCCCTTTCCCCCCAATATACCTTATTAGGTCGACTTCCACGTGGTTCTCCCTGGAAACCATCGTGAACAATTCTCGTTGAATTCGTCACGATGGGCTAACTGACCTACTTCATCCTTACCTATCATCCTTCACTAGTGCCTCGCCTGTGTATACCGATAGAGCGGGTGGGGTTATCATTCCATTACCATTATTTAAAAAAAAAAACAATACAACCATTATAGTCTATATACATGTGTAATAGGAATTTTCAACTGACTTCAATAAAAAATAAAGTTCTCAATTTGGCTGTATTTTTTATGTTTGTTACCTTGTTTGTCATTCCATCAGTGCTAAACTGATTTTAAAAAATATTTTTTTACCTGATAGGCTATACTTACACATAGAATATTAGAAATTTTAACAAAATCGATTCAATAGTTTTTTAAGTCAAAATAACTAATTTTTCCTGAATAAAAGTGGATTTTTTTTTTGTTGAACACCAACTTAAATTATGTGAACTTACTATATTTGTTAATTTCGTCAATTGTTTCCACTTTATTCAGAAGTCTTATTCAGGGTTAACATGTGTTTTAGCAAGTTTCTTTTTTTTTTATACAACTTAGAATGGCAAACAAGCTGACGACCCACCTGATGGAAAGTAGTAACCGTCGCCTATAGATAAAAAAATAAAAATAACGCCTATAATTTAATTTATTTTCATTAAATTTCAATATAGCAAGTTAAATTGAAACAAAATATTTTTTATTATATATTTAAATTTAAGCAAAGATGGACTCTCTTTTACGTTTACGAGACTGAAATTAAACACTTTTCTGGCAGACTTTTTTATATCCAGAGATAACAAACAAGCGTACAGCCCGCCTGATGGTAAACGATTACTATAGCCTATGGATGCCTTCAAAATCAAGGATATCACATGTAGCATAAAATTTTATTGTGCTGACTCCAATAAGCATCAGATTATATTATATATGCGTGATTTTCTTTAAGAAATCATTTATAAGTATTAACTAATAAATATCGAAACATGCCTGAGGATCCTCACAGTCTCAGAGAACCCTAAACAAATTAAGTCTTAACTATTACTTTTTTACAATAAAAAACCGATGATGCGTAATGAATACTATAAACATTCCAAAGTCTATAAAAAAAACTAAGGGAATTCCTGCAGTTTTTATTCATAAAATTATTATCTCTTTCGAGGAAATATTTAATTTAATTTATCATTTCATATAATAGCAACAAATTAAATCCAAGCATCAATAACAAGTGTTATCTATCTATACAAAGATATTATTATTCGCGCTCATGAATAAGCCGAAGCCACAATACAGTTCTAATGTCAGTCTCTATTTGTTCTCGACTCGATCTCGGGAAAAACAGTTCGAGATTGATCTTGACTGGAAAAGAACGGAGCTAGATAGTAGTTGGTCGACAATTCCTTCTTTTTTTAAATTATTTATTATTATTGTTGATTAAAATGGTAGAAATACAATATTAATATACTTATAATTTAAAGATTATTTATTTTGTTTTAAAAATTAAACCACTGTATTGATATTGAAAAACATGACATATGCGCAAACAAAAAAACAATCGAATTGAGAATCTCTTGCTTCTTTGAAGTTTACTGAAAAAGGATAAAAAATATACCAATGAATTAATTGTAGATTCACAAATATAATAGATTTCATTTATTAAATTTAAAACGCGCAATCGTATCTTAAATACAAAAACACAGAAACGAGAAGAATTTTCTGGTAACAAATTAACATCAAACAAAGAGGTCGACAATAGAAATATACTTCTTGTATATACCAAGAAACGTTTGTTGTTTGTTTTATATATTTGATATAAGTAGGCACTCTGTATAAGTAGGAGCAAAAAAAAGGAAATATACGTATACGTATATACCATTTCGTAGAATATTCGAACACAAAACAATATCAGATTTACCATAAAACATAACATTCATCGAATTATAAATAAAGCTTCAGACAAATAATATTTGAAAAAACCAACAACACAATAACATATACATGTTATCGTCATGCTATCGAATATCACAAGGTTATACAAAATGGTAATTCATAACCTTAGGAAACCTATAAACATACCGCTGTTGTTATGATATTTATCTTTTCTTTATTTATTTACTCTTTATTACATATATATTTGCTACTCATTAAGTGTCACTCATATATATGTTACACTTATGAAGTACAAAAAACGGTCATGTCGTTAAAGCAATCTCTTCCAGACACATTTGGATAGAGGAGAAAAATTATATTGGCGCAAGAAGTATATCTAGTAAAAAACGCTCATATTAATAAAACATATGTTGGGGGGAAAGGGATTGTTAGTAATGGAGACTGAGAATCCCATTGCTAGCAATATACCCAACCAGGTCGACCTCCTCGCGGATCCCCCTGGAAACTATCATAGTTAATTCCTGATGAATTCATTATGATGGGCCAACTGGCCTGTTTTCATTCTCATCTGTTTCACCCTTCACTGGTGCTCCGCCAGCGTATCCCGTTAGTGCAGGCTGAGTTACCATACCATTTCCACTCATCAAAAAAAAAACATATGCAAATAATCATATGCGTATCTTCTACCTTTAAAGAAATAATTAAAAATTAATTAGTACGATACTAAAATTATACAAACTACTAGCTGACACGACAAACATTGTTCTACCATATATTTTTTTTTCTAGAACACCTTAGCACCTAGCGATATGAAATATACTTTACTACCTATTCTTATACCTACCAAATTTACGTAAAAAAATTGATAAAAATCGATCAAATCGTTTCTGAGGAATTCGACCATAAACACAGTAATACGAAATATTTATATAAGATGTAATAGTTTATTTTCTCTCATGAACGTAGATGCTGCAGAATGAGCTCCCTGTCGAGGTTTTCTCTATATGGTATTTCTCTATAGGGTTCTTCAAAAAGTATGTATTAAGATTTCTTCAGTGTCGACAACGCCGTAACACCACGGAACAGTGTTGCGGAACTAGTGTTGCACCTCCTCGCGGGGAAACTGTCATGGTTAATTCCTGATGAATTCATCATGATGGACTAACTAGCCTGTTTTCATTCTCATCTATCACTCTTCCTGGTGCTCCGCCAGCGTATCCCGTTAGCGCAGGCGGGGTTACCATACCATTATCACCCATAAAAAAAAAACTAGTATTGCAGGCGTCCATAAGCTACAGTGACCGTTTATCAACAGACGGGCTGTATGCTTATTTGCCACTTTAGTGGTATAAAAAAAATTGAGTATATCTTACAATAGAATATAAACAAACTTTTTGTTGTTAAAGTAACATAACCCAAAAATTTGTAATGACGTTCAAACTTTAATCACTCGTAATTACCTCTGTAGTCTACAATGTTACCTTGAGTTTTTTCTCTATACTAATTATATCACAATGACACTTACGTTAGTCATAACGACGTGGAAGTTAATCTATTTTAGGTGTTTTACTTCTCAATTTTCACCTTCATGTTCTGTAAGTTCCGGAAAGTAGCGAAATGTAATTAAATTTACATTAACAAAGTCTAATCAAATAAGTCAGCATGGATACTTTGGTGTTCATTATTCTATCACGCTGAACGGATTTACCTATTTCAAGGAAATTTTTCATGCAACTTTGAATGGAAAAACAAGCTACCGAAAATACTTTAATCTCTTTTAATTAATATATTTGGAAAAAATTGCAGGATATACTTTGTAGACTATATTACCACAGGGAGACTTTGTACAAAAGTCGATTGCTTGGATACCTCTATCCCATTCGTGTCTCAACCGTGAAGCAGTTGTGTTTGCATGGCTGTGTTTCCGTTTGAAGTGTGGGATATGGCGTGAATTTACTGGATACAGAGGAATAACACCTGAGTCCTCAGGAATGGCAACGCATGGGGAGTATCATGGGCCAAACAGTATACTCTGTTATGTCCATGGTACTGCTCATGTTTATAGGCAACGGTTACCACTTTCCATCAGGTGGGCCGTCAGCTTGTTTACCATTCTAAATTGTATAAAAAAAAATTATTCAGTTAATATAATTTATTAAATACTCCTAATGAAAATACTCTGTAACTGTAACACCCCTCACGCGTTGAGGTTTACATTGTCATGCCTATAGAGGCATACAGGGTATAGATCCTGTATGCCTTTATAAATATGAGATGGCTAAGAAAATTTAATTGTCAACGGAGCAGCGTTCCGCTGCTGCCCATCTTTAGACATTACCAAAGCCTAACTGCAGTTGTCAACCCACCTGCAAAGTGTGGCAACTACTGGCAAAACTCCCTAAGGGGGGGAGGCTTATGATCAACAGTAGACAGTCAACGGCTAATAAAAGGGAGCTAATGAATAAGTAATAAACGGGAAGAAGGAATTGTTAGAAATGTGGACTATCAGTTCCATTATCAGGTCAGGTCGACCTCCATGTGGCTC